CTATAAGCTGACCTCAGGAGAGAGAGGGGGAAACAAAACAAAGCAAAACAACTATATTAAATGAGAGAAAGGGCTACTTGCTCTACGTTTGGGGTAGAGAGAGATCCTTGTAGGGGATCTCCTTATTCCATCATTATTCACATTGACTGCAGGAACCTAGACTTTTGGTTTTTCTTTTTCATTCTGTAGAGGAGATAAGAAGCCAACAAATATGTACAAACAAGCTATTCCCATGATAAACTGGAAATAATCAATTTGGGGTGGGGCACTAGAAAATGATAGGGAGAGAATTTAGTAGAGCCCTTATTAGCACTTGTCCCAGCTTCACTATTAACTAGCTTCCCCAGCCATGACCAGTTGTCTTGACTTATGTCTTGCCACTGGACTTCAATAACTCTGAAGGAGAGAGTGAGGATGACTACTTTGTGTGTCTCTACCTCACTCTAAACTCAAGAACCTTGGGAATAACAATGCTTCCAGCCCACTGTCCACAGCCCCCATCCTGGGAAGCAACTCTGATGGAGAGGCAGCTTGGCAGCTCCCAGATATATCTATTGAAGGCCTAGAAAAGGAAGTTCTCACCACCAGAGTCCTTGGCACTGTCAAATAATTCAAAATCAGAAGCTGGTATGTGCTAAACACTGGGGATGCAGACAGGAAAGCCAGACAGTCTCTGCTCTCAGGGAGCTCGCATTCCACCACATTTGGAAGGCCTCAGCTGCAAGTGAGATCGAAAGGTCCCATGGTTCTTAGGGAGCAGCAGCAAAGCAGATGGTAATTCTTGTTTGTTATCATTTCCACTGATAAAATCATACAAGCTTCTGATTTTGAATTATAGTAAGTACTTCATAAACATTTCATTTATTCCCTACCCTGCTCCTCAATTATTTCCCCCAAAGGAACTTCTAAAGGAACCTTAAGTAGTTATACATTTTCCACCAACTTTAGTATTTTAATTCATTCTCATTAATTTCATTACATTTCATCTACCTAGATTCAGTCCAGGTGACTAGTCTATTGAGAGATTTCCGGATATTAACTTTGTCATCTAATGCTAGTTATGCCACTCAGGTTTGTGACATATGCAACTGGATAAGCATTCCATCTGAGCTCTTATCCAAATCATCTCTTAAAATATTAGACAGCCCGGAGCCAAGCACAGATCCCTGGGGAACTCCATTAGAGACTGCATTCCAGGATGACATGGAATCAGACCTTTTAGGTTAAGCCATTCTGCCATTTCCAAACTATTCAATCCAATCTTGGTCCTCCTTGGTTACCTCATGTACTCCCCACTGTTCCCGCTGTTTATGTGAGAAGGAGTTGGAACCTGCCTGAATTTACTTGTAAAATCCCCAAACTATGTATAAATGGCAATTCAATTGATAGCGCACACCCAGGGAGCCCTTAGGTGTTGGTGATTCGATTCAATTTAGCAAATATTTGTTGTTCCTACCCAGCAGGGCTGGCTGGCTGCCCCAAAGCTGCTTGCCTCAGCCCAGCTTTCCGTGTGGACTGTGCCTGGATTGTGATTTGGATTGTGATTTCCTGCCTCTTCCCCTACTTCTACTTTTCTTTCCCTTGAGGTCTATGTACTTCCTGTTTCTGGCATGAGTCAACTTCCACTCCTTTACTCTTCCTGGAAAGGGGTGTGGAACTGGACATCGAAAACTTGGATAGCATTTTCTAATGATTGGATTCATTGCACATGTTAAATTTGGTGACCAGTAAGAATGCCTCAGCAAATCTTCTCGTGAAATGAAAAAGGATAAATAAATAAAAAAAAGGAGACCCTGGGTTGGGGCAGGATTTCTAGACTGAGGATCTCCCAAAGTCACTAACTTGGAGTAGTTACTAAGATAGTAATAATGGAAAAAAGACTGTCCCTTTCCTTCCAGAGCTGAGGGAAGGGTCTGTACGCTGAAGACTGGCCCGCTCCCCAGCAGATCTCTTCAAGATGGCAGTTTCCATAACATTGAAAGCTGATACCAAGGGTACCATCCCTTGACCACTCTGATCCTTCTCCTCTCTTTGCCTAGCAAGACCTAGGGAGTCTACCGTCTGAGAATTCACCATGGTCTAGACTAACTGGAAAGGCCTGGGTTTGAATTCCATCTTGGACACTTGCTACTTGCAACACCTTTAACAAGTCATTTCCCTGTCAAAATCCCAATTTCTTAATTTGTAAAATAGGGATATAATTCTTGTCGTATCTACCTAAAAGGGTTCTTGTGATGAAGTCACTTTGCAAAAAGTCAAAGAATTATATAAATGCAAGCCATTATTATCATTTGCCTTATAATATATATTTTATAATCATGGTACAGTTAGACTCTAGGGTTATTCAGATTTGAGGGACAGTGATTCGTATATCAGTATTTTTTCATAAAAGATATACAGGCATATGTTTAGAGTTGGAAGAATGGAAAACTGTCACAGAAATTGGTGGATTATTTGCCAACTGAGCCCCCTGTAAAATCATCAAATTGGGTCTTATTTTCTGCACTGCTGTTCAACTATTTGGCAAGTCCTTAACCCTCAGATTGCCCTCAGGGTGTCTAAAGCACATCATTCTCCCAACCCTACCTCCTCTGGATGGGGCTAGGCCTAGTCAAAAGTTTTCTTTGATACTTTTCTACTTGATTTCCTTCACCGTTTTTTTTTTTTTTTTATCTTTTGGCATGCTCTCAGCCATCTCTTTCATTCTTCCTAATTATTTTAACCCTTTTTCTAATTTGTAAGTAAATCTTTAAATCAAGGACAGTAGGTCCTAGAGAGTAAGCAATGGAAGCATTTTTTTCAGGGGGAGGGTGAAGAGTGGTAATTCCAATGCCTTTGAAATCAAGACAGGTAAGCAATGTCTTATATATTTATGTTTAAGGACGTATACTAGCTGTATGGTGATGGACAAGTCACTTAAACTCACCATTTGCCTGGAAATTCTCTAAGACTGTATTGTATATAAAGGTGTTGTTGATCCACCTTGGCAGAGGGAATTTCTATACCAGGAATTACACTTAATGAAGAAATGATAGGCACAGGTCATACTCCTCTCCCTCTCTAAACCCATCTACTTAAGGGCTCATTCTGCAATCTGATATAGTGAATCGTGAAAGGATTAAATGATGCTTCAGATGATGTTCCTTAGAATATAAGTTCCTTCAGTCAGTGAGGTAGTGAAGTGGCTAGAGCACCAATCTTAGAGTCAGGAGGACCTGAGTTAAAATCTAGCCTCAGGAGCATACTAGCTGTGTGACCCTGGGCAAGTCATTCAACCCTGATTGCCTCAAAAAAAAAAAATGTGTGTGTGTGTGTACATATACATACATATATATTTACATATATATATGTATGTATATGTACAACACATATTCCTTTAGGGCAAAGGTTCTTTTTCCTTTTTCCTTGTTTTTCCAGTGCTTAACAGAGTGTTCCATTGTAAGTGCTTAATGAATAGTTGTTGAATGAGCAAATGAATCAATGACTTACAATGTCAGTGTAATAGCTACACACCAAAACAATTTGGCTGCTTATAAAATAACAATCCTGATGGCGATAATAACCAATCTTAGTAGTGCAAAGATACCTGGAATAGAAGTTAGAAAACACAAATTTAAAGCCTGCCTCTGACAGCTGCTGCCGGTGAGACCACGGCCACCCTTCATCCCGATAAATACAAATAACAATATTTGCATTAACTAACATGAACAAGGCCACTGTGAAGAAAGCATGTTAGTTACTGTTAATAATCTATTACTGCTATTAAAAGTAGGACACATTTCTAATGTCATTTATGGTATACAAAGGAGGGGAAGAAAATAAGCATTTATATAGTACCAGTCATATGCCAGGCACTGTGCTAAGCACTTATCAAATATCTCATTTGATCCTGACAGCAACCCTGCAAGTACTGTTACTATCTCCATTTTACAGCTGAAGAAACTGAGGCAGGCAGCTAATTAATTGACTTGCTCAGACAGAGTCATACTGTTAGTAAATATCTGAGGACAGATTTGAACTTCCTTCCTAACTGCAGGCCCAGCTCTCTATCCACTGGGCCACCCAGCTGCCTTAGTATTTTCTTCTAATATCCCTGTGAGGGCAGCATTATTATTCTTATTTTTATAGATAAGGAACCTGAAGAACAGAGAGGTAGAAGTGATTTGTCCAAGGCTGCACACTCCTAAGGGGTAGAGTCATAACTTAAACCACATTGTCTGAGGCTCATTCTAATATGCCACAAATACATGGCTATGACTAATAGCAGTTCAGTTTGCTAATCTTGAAACTGGCTCTGGTACAAGGTAATATACATTAATATGCAAACCTATTGTTTGCTCAGTATATATTAAAGGAATATATATATATATGTATACATATATATACACGCACACACACACACACACACACACACACACACATATATGTATATATCAGAGACTTTGGAGGGTATTTGTTCTCAAGGCAGCTAAGTGGTACAGTGGATAGAGCATTGGGCCTGGAGTGAGGAACCTTTGAGTTCAAATCTAGCCTCAGATGTTTCCTAGCTGTGTGACCCTGGGCTAGTATCTCTGGACCTCTGTAAAAGAAGGGGATTGGATTAGATAATCTGAATTACCTTTCAGCTCTAAATCTTATGATCGCATGAATGAGTATTTTGTATCATAGTACTATTATATGGGACCTTGGAAATTTAGGGAAGCAGAAGTCAGAGATATCTATAGAATAGCTTGGATTTCATTTCAATGTTCACATGATTCTGAATGCCTAAAAGAATGCAATGCTAAAATTTCATCATTTAATTTCAGCTTTCAGGGGAAATAACGAGGCAACTGGTGTCCATGTATTTCAGACAAAGCATTATGTACGTTAGCAGAACATAGTGGTTTCCGCCTTTATTATGCAACATCTCATATATGTACGTAATTTCCGCTTCTAGTAGAAGTAGGGCTATCAAAATTCTAAAATTAGTCAAACATATTCTGCTTTATTTTACTTACATCTTTCCTGAGTACATCTGTTACATCATCCAGATGCTTCAGATTTCCATTACCAGAACTGTTTTCTAAAAATCCAAACTTGACTAGTTCTGTATGGGGTAAAGAAGGAACATATTATGTATTAATACACATTTTGATTCCATAAGGCAATAAAAGAGAAGTCTAATTACTAATTTTTAATAGCAGACCTACCACTAGACTTCAGTCCATCAAGGTTGTTTGATTTCATTGTGGTTGGTGTTCCCTTGATCAATCTCGATTATAATCCCTCCCTGCTCTAGTAGATAGTTTTAATGATTTGTTGTGGCTGGACAGAGTCATGACACAAACACATAAGCCCAAGAAATATGTTAAATTTTTAAACATTTTAAGCTTCAGTTTTTTATTGTTTTTTTTTAATTAAAATTATAAAGTCATTTCAAAAACATGTTCTAAATGACTAATTGTCAGAGAAATACAAAAAATAATTCTGAAGTTTCATCTCATACCCTACAATGACAAAAAGAGGAGTGGTCAATGTTTGAAGGACTGTGGGAAAGTAAACACATGACTATGTTCTTGGTGGAGTTATAAAATGGTCTAAGCCTTCTGGATAGTTATTTATAATTCTGGAAGAAAATTGGTCAAACTGTTCATACCCTTTGACCCAACAATTCTACTACTGGACATATACACCTCCAATTGACTGCTGGAAATCTATGGATATTCCCTTTAGCAGTCTGGATTAATCTGGATGATCCAGAAGCATCTCAAAATCAACAGATTTTGTCAGAATTTGTCAGATTTATCAGAACAGATGTCATTATTTTTCTCCTAAATCTGTTCCTCCTCTGAACTTCTTTATTCCTATTAAGAACACAACCAAAGGGCACAATACAGCAATTAGCCTTCATTCTTTAGTAAGATCCAATCAGTTACTGAGTCTTACTGATTTTACCTTCTCAACATCTCTGCATTTCTTCTGTCTATTTAGACTGAACCCACCCTAATCCAGACTCTTATCACCCTTGCCTGGATTATCATAATAGGCCTCTAATTATTGTCTCTGTATCCAGTCTCTCCCCTCTTTGATCTATCCACCAACAGAGCTGCCAGAGGTCCATGGACCACATTTTTAGAATTGCTGGATTTGAGAGTCTCTGACATCCTTTCTAGCTCAAAATCTATCATCCTATGATCCCTTTCTGAGGCTCGGTTTCATCATCTGTAAAATGGACATAATACTTTTTGTATTTGTATCTGTAAGCCTACCTTTTAGGCTTATTATGAAAAATAAGCATTAGCCAATGTTATGGAAATGAGTCATTATTTCTACAATACTATTAATAGCTTTGTAAGTTCTGACTGGAGCATTTATAATTTGATGCAATATATATTCCTCTTTTCTCTTTATATGGAATGTAAGTGCCTTGAGGGAGAGAAATATGTCTTCTGTTCCTTTTCTGACTAGCATATTGTTGAATGTCTATTAGATAGACAACAAATTTTCTTTTATTGGTATCTCCCCCAGACCCTTTGAGATAATCAGTACTCATGAAATGCTTATTGAATGAGCATGAAGCTTTTTTATTTTAAAAGAGAAAACAACTTTGGATAAGATTGTGAATACATTTACCTTCCTCAATATCACCGAAAAGGGATAGAACTTGGATTGGTTTTCGCTTCCATTCAGGCATGGTTTTATACATTTCCAGAGGTCTCTGCTGTATTAATATATAAACAAACATTTGTTATAGGTCCTCTTAGAAAATGAAGAATGAACAACAATGTAAACAAAGAAATAAGTAGAGAAATAACTTTAGAAAGGTTTGCTGTTTATTTGATCACATGCCATGCAATTCCTCCTGTGCAATGGGGGCAACTAGGTGGTACAGTGGATGGAGTGCCACCCATTGAGTCAGAAAGATTCATCTTCTTGGGTTCAAATTCAGGCTCAGACACCTACTAGCTGTGTGGCCCTGGGCAGGTCACTTAACCCTGTTTGCCTCAGTTCCTCATCTGGAAAAGGAAATGGCAAACCACTCCAGTATCTTTGCCAAGAAAACCCCAAATGAGGTCACAAAGAGTCAAACTTGACTGAAATAACTCAATAACAACATGCAATTCTTCTTCCTTCCAATACATCCATTTATTTTAATTCATAGTAATAAACCTAGACTATCTTTGTGATTTCAGGTTAAAAAAAAGTGATTTTGGATCAGGGCATAAATATTTTACTTTCATCACCTAAGATTTCACATAGAATCAAGAATAACACAAATTGGCTGCTACCTGAAGAGTGTGAGGACATATTTGGCTACATTGAAGTATAGTGGAAAGAATACTGGACTTGGAATCAAGGGACCCAGAATTTGAATACTGACTCCAACATGTACTAGTTGTGTGTCATTTAACTTATCTAAGCCTCAATTTTCTCAAATGTAAAACTATGATGAATATAAACATAAATACATACATACATATGTACATATATATATACACAGATACACACACACACACACGCACACACACACACACACACACACACACACACACACACATATATTATCTCCCTCACACAGTTGCAAAGAAAACATTTCATGGGGTAGTGGAAAGAGCAATCGATTCGTAGACAGCTGACTGACCAGTCTTTCTCTGTCTCTTACTGATTCATCATCCACGTCACACACACTAACCACAGGGATACTCTAAGTCTATGTTCCAGGCTACTTTCTTTTTTCTCACTATGTGCTGTCACTTGGTGACTTCATCAATTCCAGTGGGTTGAATTTTCATCTCTATGCAGTTGACTCTGAGAGCTATAAATCCATCCTCAGTCTCTTGAGTTCCAGTTTCAACACTATGAATTACCTTTTGGGTATTTTAAATTGGATGTCCTATAGACATCTCAAACTTACTCTCTCCAAGCTAGAGCTAATTATAACCCCCTCCCCCAAACTCACTCTTCTTCTGAATTTCCCTATCACAGTTGAGAGTATCACCATTGTTCTGGTCACCCAAATTCCCAACCTTAGATTCATTCTTCACTCCCTTTTTCCACATGTCCAGTAACTTGCCAAATATATGTTTTTTGTTTCTCTCTCTACAATGTCTGTGCTTAGCATAGTGCCTGGCACATAGTTGTGTTTAATAAATGTTTAATCACTTACTTATTATTGACTGACATCTCTGGCATATGCTACCTCTCTCCAGTCACACAGCCACCACACTAGTTCAAGTCCCCATTATCTTTTGTCTGGACTTTTGGTCTCTGCACCATGTCTTTTCCTACTCCAAGGAGTAGGGAGTATTGCCACAGTGATTTTTCTAAAGCACAGGTTTGGCCCCCTCACCCAGCTACTCACTACACTACCTATTATAGTGGTGGTCATAGTGGTCATAGTGACTCCACATTACCTCTAGGATCAGATATAAATGCTTCTGGCATTTAAAGCCCTTCATGACATGAATGCTTTCTAATTTTCTCATTTTCTTACTTTATCGCTCTACTTCCTGGACTCTATATCCCAGCCACACGGACCTACATGGTCTTCCTCACATATATTGCTCCATCTCTCATCTTTATGCCTTTGTACTGTTAGCCACCCACCCACCCTATGCCTGAATGCCCTCCCTCCTCCCCTTTTTCTTTTGAAATCCCTGGTTTCCTTCAAGGATGACTCTCTAAGGGGCAGCTAGGTGGCACAGTGAATAGAGCACTGGCCCTGGAGTCAGGATGACCTATGTGACCTTGAGTAATTCTCTTAACCCCAATTTCCTCACAAAAAAGAAAAAAGTATGACTTCCTAGCTGCTAGTGCCTTGCCTCAGGAAAAAAAAAAACCCAAAACTCTCTTGTATTTACTTTGCAAATACCTATATGCTGTATGTTGTCTCCTTGATAGAATACAAGCTCCTTGAGGGCAGGGACCATTTTACCATTGTCTTTGATTTCCCAATGCTTATCATTGGGCCTGGCACATAGTAATTATGTGTTTAATGAATGCCTGTTGGTTGCCCCAATTTTTTCACCAGAGCAGTGCTAGATACTGGAAAGAATGTTGACCCAAGAGCTAGAAGACCTAGGATCCATTTAAACCCCACCTTCAGAGCTCTTACTATTTCTGTGATGGTTCCCTCACTGGACTTCAGTTTCTTCCTCTATAAAATGACAGGTTTGGATTAGGTAGCTGCTGAGTTCTCTTCTAGTTCAAGGTCTGTTATCTTAGTGCTACAGCTATTTCTAACACCAGTTGGTGGGGGAGGCGGTCAGGGAGAGAGGAAGGAGGAGAAACAAGCATTTATTAAGTGCATACTATGTGCTAAGCATTTTACAAATATTATCTCATTTGATCCTCACAACAGTCCTGGGAAATGCTATTACTATTCCCATTTCACGACTGAGGAAAACTGAAGCAGAGGGAGAAGAGACAAATGACTTGCTCAGAGTCACATAGCAAGTAAGTGTCTGAAGCCAGATTTGAACTCAGGACTTCCTGGTTCCAGGCCAGGACCTCTATCCAATGTGCCACCTAGCTGCCATCTATAAAACAGGTTATTTATACTGTCTAAGAAATAAATCCAACAAGTTTAGGAAATCTGAAACATGTCGTAACTCTGACACACATAGTCCAGGTACCAGCTGCTCTGATTTCATCATATGTGGAGAGAATTCAGACCCTACTCTCTGAGACATACAGGCAAGTTCCACAACTTTCAGAGGCTACTGAGGGAGAATCTAAAAGCAGCTCACACAGTTCCTTGTCACGGCTGTTTGTGCGTTTCCATGATAATCAAAACCAGATGTGACAGATGTGCAGTCAGTGAGTGCCAATATAATTAGTTCCTTTGGCCAACTTCTGAGTACGCATATTGCAGTCTAATCTGGAAGTAGGATGATGTTGACTCAAACAACAATTTCATTGTTGTCCTGATAAACAACTAGATGACACAGTGGATGAGCACTGGACTAGAGTCAGAAAAACCTGAGCTCAAATCCTGCCTCAACTTCTTAACTTTGTAACCTCTGTCTTCCTCAGTTTTTTTTATCTGTAAAATGAGGATTGTCAACTCCTCCCAGTTTTTCAGATCATAACCCATCCAAGCCTTCTCATCCCATGCAACAACATACCCAAATCCTCCCTCAAATCTTCAATATGGGTAAAACCTTTCTCTAAATCTCTATGAATACCAGTACAAAACATGAACTATCCTTCTATTATCCTTACCTCTCACTACACGACTCCTAACCACAAATTTCTATACTGATTTTTAATGTCATTTGTGCACAATTCATTATGGGTAGTATGTTATAATATATTTACATTCTCAGCATTTGTTAGTAGGATAGCTACTATCCTTTACATAAATTGCAATTGAGATGTTTTTGGAGACTCTGTATTCCATGGTTCCTAGCCACAGAGTATCAGTGGAAGAACATTGGTACTAGGATTTTATTTTAGTGAGAAGCTTGGGGGGAGATGTCACTGAAAGTGCTCTAGAGTTTCCCAAATGTAAGCCAGTTCAATCTATTCTTATTCAATTTTGGGCCTAGTTTATTTTACATCTTAAGTTATTTGTCCCAGATATGTTCTGATGGATCAGTCCATCTAGCTGAGTAGTCTGAACTGTAGATATTCTTCATCAGTTGATTTTTTATTGAAGAATATTTTCTTTATGCTCTTTGTCTTTACATCATAGTCATTTCTCAGTCCGTTACCATATTTAACTTTCCTTTGTGACAAAGAAATACAATTAAGCAAAAACATTTGATACAGAAATCTTTCCTGACAATGCCTGCCTGTCATCTTTTCTAATAGTTCTACCATGAGAGAGGAGATAGTTTTTTATTCTCTTCTCTAGGATCTTCATTGGTTTTCTCATTATTCAAGAGTATAATGACTTTTTAAGAATCAATTATTTTACTTTGCTGCAGTCATTGTATATATTATTTTCTTGGTTCTGCATATTTTGCTAATCTTTGTTCATATTAATCTTCTCACGTTTCTCTGAATTCCTAGAATTTGTCATTTTTTACAGCAAAATAATATTTTATTGTATTTATATCCTTGTTTTATTATACTCATGTGCCATTTAAAAAAAATTCCCCAATCAATGGGCAACCACTTTGTTTTCAGTTCTTTGTTACAACAAAGCATGTGGCTATGAATATTGAGGTGCACATAAGACCTTTATTTCCTTGGGTTACATACTCTAGTGAAATTGCTGGATCAACAAGCATAAACAGTTTAGTCACATTTATATTGCATAATATTTCCACTTGAAATCCAGAATTATCTGGATCATATTGCAGCTTCACCAGTAGGGCATCAGTGTGCCTGTCTTCCCACACCCCCTCACTAATGACTGTTTCTGTTTTTGATCATTGCCAATTTGCAAGGAGTGAGGTGAAACCACATCAACTGATATTTCCTGTGTGAATTGTTAGGCCAAACTCTATTGAATGACTAATGGATCTCATTTAGGAGGCTGTGTCATGTCAAACTAATGTAATCTGCAAAGAGGAACACCTGGAAAACCTCATGGTCTACAGGGAATTCTTCCATTTGGGCTCTATGCTGGATAATATCATTGACATTAATGATTATTGTGTCATTGAACAAAGTTAATAAGGTTATAGATTTAGAGTTGGAAAGAACCTTATATGTCATCAGGCCCAATCCTCTCAATTTAAAGGTTAAGTGCCTTGCCTGAGGTCACATAGG